TGGTATGGGGGGGGCATATCTCCTCCCCTCTCCCCACCTGTGCCTGTGGCAGGTGGGAGACCTGGCCCTGAGATAAGAGTGGGAGAGCTGTCCCTGCCCATCACCAGCAGCAGTACTCAGGACAGTGGCCCTTACACTTGGGCAATACAGTAGAGCTGACCTTGAGGGCATGAAAGCAGAACTGGCCCCTGCCCCTTGCTCATTGCTGCTTCAGGTGAACTAGCCAGGGCCGTGCTACAGAGCTCATCATCCTAGTGATGAAAACAGATGAGAGCTAGTGGGCTGACCAACCCTGCAATTACCTAGTCCCAGAACCAGGGTTATGAATTGGTCCACCCCAACACCCACCCCATCTATAATCTGTGGGAGCACATAAAGGGGCTGATCCTGTAGACACAAAGCTGCAGGAACTCCATGGCACAGATCAGCAACAGGGTATCTAAGAGGAGTTGAGTGAGGGCCCAGTATCGATGGTATAGCAAAAACCAGGGGCCTTGGGCCAGACCAATGACTCTTTGCAATGAACACTTGCACATAAGTATATATGGATAAGAGTTTACTGTGTGACTTTTTTTCTCTTAAATTTTATTTTTTTTTTGTGGGGGTTGCAAGGGCAGAGGGTAGGTACAAAGGGATGGGAAATGAATGGGATGGAGATGCATGATGTGAAAGACACAAAGAATAAGAAAGTCAAAGAATTTCTGGTCTAAAGAGCAAAAAATTTTAATAGATAATATTCAGGCCCTATTACTAGGAAAACAGTTTCCTGTTAATTAAGAAGGCTTATCCTTTAAAAAAAAAAAGTTGTATTTGTTTCTTGGTGAGGTGATTTTTTTTGCCATGGCATGGGAGTGGAGGTCACAGGAGACCTTGGGAGAATCTGTTTTCATCTTTACCACTGATGAAACTCAGGTCATTCAGCTTGATGACAAAGCATCTTTATCTATTGAACCATCTCACTAAACCCCATGAGTGGTAAGTAGTGGGAACTGAACTTGAGTCCTATAAGAGCAGCGTGTGCTTTCTAAACAGCAGATTTATCTCTTTACCCCCTTTAGTATCTTAAGTAAACCATAATCTTACTATACATGTAAGGAAGCAAAACTACAGTACTTACTGTTTCAGAAATGAAAATGAAACTAATGCAAGCCACAGTGCCTGGTAATTTCTTTTTCCAGTTTAGTTAACAGTTATTAGCTAATAGTATTAGCTGCTAACAAGAAGATAAAATACAGAGCTTTCCCCCAGTTAAATTTTACCTCTGTGCTAGTCATCTTCCCATTTCTGTGAAAAAAATAAGAAAAACAACTTTAAAGGAAGTAATCTTATTCTGAGATCTCAATAGATGATCACTTGGCCCAGGTACTTTGGGTCTGTGGTAAAGTAGATCATATGCCAAAGCTGCTTAACCTTTAGTGGGCCAGGGAGCATCAATGGGAAAGGAACAAGGCAAGGGTCTCGACATGTCCTGAAAGCCAGCTCCTATGACTTACTTCCTTCAGCTAGTCCCACTTAGAAAGTTTCAGCTTCTAAAAGTTTCAGCTGAACACTAGGCCTTTAACACAAAAGCTTTTAGGGCCAGTGTTCTTTTTCTGGAGATCACATGGTTTAGGTAACATCTTGGAGGCAGAGGACTGGACTGGAGGAGACAAAAAACAAAACAAAACAAAAAAACTTTTCTGCTTCTTGATTTAGGACTTTCTAGTCTCCAGAACTACAGGAAATAAATCTCTGTTCACTTAGAAGCTGCTCAGTCTTGTGTCATTGTGTAATAGCTAATTCTTCTGCTGTATGTGAATGAATGCTTTTAAGCACTTGTTCAAATGAGAGCAGAGATAAGTTTAGGTACCATATTGGTTTTAAATTAAAAAACAAAAATGAAAAATCCTTCAAGAATTCCTTCATTTACTTAAAGAATCTCGCCTTGAGAAGGTGTTAATAATCCAGCCTTTGTGCTTCTGTGTCTCTGAGCAATTCTAAGGGAAGATTGGCAAGAGACTAAAGAGCTAAGTACTAAAAAGTGTAGACACATAGTAGTTCCCTGTAAAGCCAGTCTCATTGGAATGTCTGTATAAAGACTTATGTTGACTAGTGATAGAAAGTCATCACATCCTGGCTTTGAATAACCACAATGGCAGCTTTAGTTTTAAATGTTTTGTTGTCATCTACTTAAATACAGCATTTACTGTGTGCTAGACACTGTTAACTTGTAATAAGGACTGGTGCTGTACTTCAGAGATAAGGCACAGAAAAGCTTTGGTAGCTTTCCAAAGGTCACAGACCTAGTATGTGGCCAAACGTAGATCCAAAGTAAGGACATTTGACTAGCTAGAATCCATACTTTTCCTTCCTTCCTTCCTTCCTTCCTTCCTTCCTTCCTTCCTTCCTTCCTTCCTTCCTTCCTTCCTTCCTTCCCCCCCTTTTTTTTTTTTTTTTTTTTTTTTAAGAGAGGGTCTTACTATGTAGTCTTAGCTGACATGGAACTTGCAGTGTTGATTAGACTAGACTAGACTAGGCTGGCTTCTGTCATCCAAATTCTGCCTCTGACTCTTGAGTACTAGGGTTAAAAGTGTGCCATCATTGTCAAACAAATCCTCACTCTTAATCACAGTACAGGGTGGTGTAATATTCTTTGCCAAAAGACTTGTGTCCAGAATTTACAAAGAACTTCTAAAAAAAATAATTTAAAAAATAAGCAAGCTAGGCATGGGGTACATACTTTTAACCTTAGCAATCAGGAGGCAGAGGCAGATAGATCTCTGAATTTGAGGCCAGCTTGCTCTGTATAGCTCATACAATGAGGCCCTGTATTTGAAAAAAAAAAAAAGAGAGAGAGATCGATGAAAAAAAGATTAAAAAAGAAAGTTAAGCACATGGACAATTGGAATGATGCTAGTTCTCATTAATCTTCAGAAAATCAAAACAACAATAGGTGACAAATAGCACTGTAATGTACATAATACAGTATGATTAAAATATTGAAAACACCAAATATTATTAGGGATGTGGAACACAAGCTGTCATTTTTGGTGAAATGTGTAATTACAACTACTTTGGAAAACAATTTGTTAAATTTTTATATGGGTTTAAACATGCAAATGTCTTGTGACCTAATAATTGCATTTCTAGGTGATTAAGAGAGATGAAAGCATTGTTAATAACATACTTGTGTAGATCTTGTCGTCATCTACATCGTGAGTTCTAGGCCAGCCTGGGTTACATGAGACCCTGTCTCAAAAACAGGATTAAAGAAAAAGATCTATGTAAGCTTGATCATAGCTTACAAACTAGAATGATCCAACTTCCTCTCAGTGTAAGAAAGAATCAATGATGATTCAACTAGGGGGTTACTTAGTAAAATTTACAAAGTAAACTTATGTTACACTAGATATAGTGAGTTAAAAAAGTATAATGATAATACTACTTGCTTTAATTTATATGAAAGTTTAGCATGGGCCAAACGGTCTGCATGTTAGAAATAAAAACAGAAAGAAGGCAAAGGGGGATTCTTTGGTGTGGTAGAAATACCTTCATTTCCATGGTGTTTCTACATATTTTAGTCTGTTTGGGCTTCTACAAGATAAAAGCCTAAGTGGGATGGATTGTCATCAACGGATCTTTCTTTTTCATATTTTTGGAGGATGAGAACTTGAAAATTATCTGTTTGGGGTCCACTTTCAGGACATAGATGACCTCCTTCTTGCTATGTCATCACATGGGAGAAAGAATGAGGCAGCTTTTGAGAGTTTGTTTTCCAAGACTGATTGTCCCAATCATGAGGGCTTTGCCTTCATGACCAAATACTCCACTGCCTCATACCCTCACCTTTAGGTTTAGGATAGCAATGCATTCTGGAGGGACACAAACACCTGTATCGAGCTGTGTGGGACCACATCTGTAGACTTCGGTAGTGCCTGTGTATTTAAAGTGGATGCATGTTACTGTGTATGACATTACCTCAATAAAAGAATAATAAAGAAGGATTGAAGGGAGTAAAGGGAAGAGGGAAACTATGTAATTAGGCTTTATAATTTTTAAAAATTAGAAAAATAATGGGAGCAACAGAAACAAGGGAAGAACTTTAGGATAAGTGCAGTACTGTATGAATGACAAGCAGCTTGAGCAGGCAGAGATAGAGTTAAGAGGTATAGAACTGTTGTGTCCAATGTCAGCTGATATTTATAATTAACCACAGATCTAAGTTGTATCCACTATACTTTTCTAAGTCTGCATGATTCATTATACAGACTTAGAAATGACTAATAATCAGTAAAAGTTTGAAAACTGAAGGCTTACATGTGAGTTGTATAGGACACTTTATGCATTAAGTGAATATCCTAGCTTTCATGGAGAAAGTTATTGTTATTTTGGGAAGAGCATTATGAGATGGAACTAGTCTTTTAAGAGTAGAATCTATGAAAATGGAGACATGAAAGGTTTCCACAGATAGGTTTGATTGATGAGTAAACAGAATATCCCTCTGTGATTTATAAAAGTAATGTAGGCTCACCATTGGTAGAAATTTTTTAAAATGGGCTTCTAAGTCTAAGCATGCTTATTTCAATGTTTTGTTTATAATATATTCCAGAACATTTGGGAACTTAGGAACAATTAAAAGCTAAGATAAATACAGCAGTAATTTATCCTTGTTGTATTGTTACAGCAAATGAATACATATAGGCAAAGTGACATTCCCTCTAGGATCTATGATTACATGTGCAGGGTGATCCAGATATGCTGTGTCCACCAAAATGATGAAGTGAAATAGGAATCCTGTAGTTGTATGTGTTGAACCTTCAAAATAAAGAACAACTTTCAGTTTGTGTGTTTCCCCTTTTCAGTTAGGTTTTTTCCCTATGGCTTATTATGGAAGTAAGTAATAAACATACTAGTTACTACATAGTAATTACTGTGGTCTTTGGCTTCTCAAACAAGACCAACACATTGACTTTCTTGTTGTTTATGGAAAAGCTAATTCCTGATCTTTGCATCTGTTTTAGTAATAGTTATGCACGAGTGCGAGCTGTGGTGATGACCAGAGATGACTCAAGTGGTGGATGGCTTCCACTCGGAGGGAGCGGACTGAGCAGCGTCACGGTCTTCAGAGTCCCTCATCAGGAAGAGAATGGCTGTGCGGACTTTTTTATCCGTGGAGAGAGACTCAGGGACAAAATGGTAATGAATAATATATAATTATCACTGTAATTTTAGGATCCTTTCAGAAGAAATGAATTGTCTGTTTAAAGTTCTAACTGGTATATCATTTATGTGAGAGTTAATTTTGCCTGTGATTCAGTGATTATTTCTTGGGAGTCTTTTATGTTCATGTTAAAGACAGCAATATGCGACTGTGTCTGGCTGGATCTGACAGTAATGTACACGTATTGCATGGGGCTGCTGCTTTACTGTTTAGATTAACTCCAGAATGTTCATGAATAGCTCTGCACCTTCCCTACTTTCTCCTTGTTCCTTAGGCCAGATATCAGCAACTCCTAGTCTGAAGGACAGATACAGGCATGCCACCTGTTCTTTTTACTTGTTTTTATTCAGACCATAAGCTAATTTTTTTGGGGGGGGTATTGTTTGTTTTAAACATTTTCAATGTGTTGATGAAAGCTGATCATGGTGGCTCATGCCTGTAACCTCATTTGTTAGAAGGCTGAGGCAGGATTATGATGAGTTGGGGTCAGCCTGGAGGAATACATAGTTCTGTGCTACCCTGAACTACACAGATTGACTTTATCTCAAAAAGCAAGGGTTAGTAAAGTCAAGGAATCATAATTTTGTGACATAAAATTATGTGAAATCAAATTCTCATGTCTATAAATAAATAATTAAAACTTTTATTTGTATTTTATGTATATAGGTGTTTTGCTTATATAGCTTCTGTTCACTACATGCATATCTGGTGCATTCAAAAGCCAGAAGAGGTTGTTGGATCCCCTGGAACTGGAGTTATAGGTGGTTTTGAGTTGTATGTGATTGCTGGGAATGTAACTAGGGGTCTTCTGGAAGAGCAGTCAGTGCTCTTAAGTGCTATGCCATCTCTCCAGCCTCAATACAGCTTCTTTTGAGTTCGGCCAAAGTAATTTATGCGTGTTAACTGCTTTCACACTGTGGACAGTTCAGTAGTAGCAACAGAGGCCGTAAGGGTGTGGCTCCTTGAAGAGAAACTTTGTTTACTTCTGCTTTAGACTACTGGGACCTCAGGTTTTCTCTCTTAGTTCCCCATAAATTTATTTAGCCATGTAAGATTACCTATTGGTAATTCTTTTTTTTTTCATTTATATTTTATGTATGAGTGCTCCGCATATAAATCTGCATGCCAGAATAGGGCATCAGGTGTTATTATATAGATGGTTGTGAGCTACCATGTGATTGTTGGGAATTGAATTCAAGATCTCTGGAAGAGCAGCCAATGCTCTTAACCGCTGAGCCATCTCTCCAACCCCTGCCAGTCTGATTCTTAGCAGAATTATTTTCCACCCTTGTATATGTTTTCTTGAATAAAAATAATTTAAAAGAGTAGTCTAGTGCTTGATGTTAATTGTCCTTTTTTACTTGGTATGGAAGGCTTATTCTCATTTTATCTCAGAGCCAAAAACTACTACATATGAGATGTTGAGTAACATTAGTGTCGTTTTTTTTGTATCAAGGAAAGAGCATATATGTAGAAGCAATGTAGAAGTAGTGTTGAAAATTTCTTAAGATCCTTTAACTAGAAATTCCTTTACACATATTTGTAGTTTGAGTTCATAGTTTATTTAGCCTCTCTTATTTCTGTCAGAATGTTTGAGATTTAAATAATTCTTTTGCGCATGAACATTTTGAATTCATCTTTGTTTTAGATTGGGATTTAGATTTCATAATGTTTTTTACTGATGGGTCATTTCAGAAGCTTAGAAAGTTGCTAAATTAATCTTTGCCCCAATTTCTCCCATGGTTGGAATTATTCTAAGTCATCTTAAAATCCTCCCAAGACCACTGTTTTGTGGGTTTATAATTACTTCTTAGTGGTACACATGGCACAGTGGACCACAGTTAACTAGAGTATGTTCAGCTTTGTGGAAAACTCCAGTTGAAATGGGAGGAAGATAGAGTAAACTTAACCCATCACCTTACAAAGTTTAAAAGTAGTTTTGTATGCACATAGAATGGTGTCTGCATGTTTTCAGCTTGGAGATGCTAAGTAGTGACCATAATGCTGTGGTAAGTAGTTTGTCCTAGAGTAGAATGTTTCTAAATTTGATAACTGCGTATGTTGAAAAGTAAGTTATATATTTTAGAAACTGTGTAAAGAGGAAGGAAGGATCTAAGATGTTTCTTGTGGAGCCTTTTGTAACATTTTCTTAAAAATATAAGTTAAATATGGAATAAAAACTAGAGGAGAAATATTTGTTAGTAAAAGCATATCAATAGGAAAAGATGACCTAAATATAAGATAAAACTTGGAATATATTAATTGAGATGTTTACTTAATATTAATTAAGGAACCCAAACAGTATAATTTGAAGTGAGGTTGATCTGAGGTAACTCAGGTTGATGGAGACAGTGAGTGTTCAGTATGTGGCTCTACCATACAACTTCAAAAAATAAACATGGGATTCAGAAGACAATCTCATTTTCAACAATAGGAGATCAGGGAATGAGGAGAGAGAGAAAGAAAGAGAGCACACATATGCAGACACAGAATCTCCCCCTTAGATTAGAGGACCATCTATAACTGTTAATGACCAGATAGTTTTTCTGCCAGAAGTACTGACCAGGAATCAAAGCATCTGTTGTTTCACCTAACCATTGGCTGCTTGTGATGCAGGGAAAATAAGCAGATCAAATGTGAACCTCAAGGAGACATTGCTTTCAGTTGGAAGGTCACTGTGTTTGTTTCAGAGATTAGCTGTAATGAAACATTTTAGGTTATGGGGACATAGGGACAAAGGTATAGGCAATAAATAACTCATGGGCATATCTTGAATATATCAGCATATACTGTCTCAAGGCAGAGGAGACAGGAAAATTGAAATCAAGAGATAATAGGCCTTCTAAGATAGCAGTGTCTACTTCTATGACTTATTTTGTTGATTGGTTTTATTCTAGGTTCTGGGTTTTGTGTTCTCAAAGGCTCCCTTACTGCAAATCTAGAAACTGTAAAAATTTTTCCAAATTAATAATTGTTTTCTTTTAAAGGTTTTTCTCATAAATAAACATTGTATTTTAATAGTTTTCTATATGCTAATTGAGTAGATGCTAGGAACTATCCTTATACTCCTTTGTGGACTGAGTCTTAGTGTTCAGTCCCTTAGATGAATTTTAGAGATGAAGGTCTTATTCTTTAGACTCCTAAATGAACTTGTGCCCTTTAAGAAAATAAATAGTAGGAAGAGCTGCACATGGGCACTGCTGAGAGACATACTAGGTGATATTAAAGGATGCTTAACAGACCCTTGAGTTAAAGAAAGCCAGCCTCCTCACTCATGTGTTGAGCAGAGTCTTGCTTTAACAGAGGACTGACCTTTGGTTTGTAATTGTTAATGCTTCCCAAAGATTATGAAGTGGCAAGAAGAAAGAAGATATAGCAAGACCTTCCTAAAACAGGAGAATTGCTTAAGGTGCTTTGAAAACAAGAACAAGGTTATAAAATAGTTACCAATATAAGCATTGATTGATGAAGGTAATTTTGAAGTGAAAAAAGGAAAGACATGTTTCTAGTGTGGGAAATTGCTGAAGAGATCAAGGAATTATTTTTAGAATTAATAGGTATTAGATTATGGATAAGCAATTTATGAAAACAGAAGTTTCATTAAACTAGGTTTTTTTTATCTCCACAACAACAAAGTGGGGCTTCTAAAGCTTGGAGCTAATACAATCCTTTGTACTTAGCAATAATTTTCCTACAGAGAATCTTACTTTTTATGTCAAAAGAAAATGATCTGGCCCTCACCGTCTCTGTCCAGTCTGTCTAGCTGCATTTTTCTCAAGGATAGACTATCAGTTATTTTCATATTATTGTTTGAATACTTATGGATCAGTTAAAGCAATATATATTAAATTTCAGAATATGCCTACTCTTACAAGTATGAAACTAATGGCCCCAGGGTTAAGAGCACTGGCTATTCTTACAGAGGATCCAGGTTCAATTCCTAGAACCCACATGGCAACTCTCATCTATCTGTAATTCCAGTTCTGGGAATCTGGTGCTCTTTTCCTGACTTGTGCACCAGGCATGCCCACAATCCAGAGACATACACGCAGGCAAACACTCATCCACATAAAATAAATATTTTAAAAGTTAAGTTAAAAAATTCTGTGGAAAGGAGATTGTCAGAAGATGCTCACGTGTTCCCAAGTAATGGTAGAGAACAGATTTCGATTCTGTTACCACAAGCCAAAAATAGAATTGGGTGAGATAGAGTACTTTGAGAAAATCAGCTTTGCTGTGAATAAATGGAATTGGGACAAATGCCAGCAGTGTTCAACCAGTCTGTCATTACCTGTGCATTCCAGGGTCAATCAACAGATACAGAAGTAAATTATGCCTTCAGTATCTTGTGGACACTCGTAAGTTTTGTGACTTTCAGAAATAGTTTTACAGCAGTTAGTTCTTTAATGTGGCTGATAACCTTTTGAAGAGGAAAAACCCTGCCTGTTACTATTTGCTGTCTTTTAGAGCCTTGTGGTACTTGGTTCCTGAAAGTTATTAGGATTGGGAATTGGCCAGTTACCCTTCTGGCTGTCTTATTTCCTCTTTCAGACAACTTCACCTTTCATACTTTGACCTTTCTGTAGCCCATGCATCACATTTCTTAAGATTCAGTTGTGTGTCTTAAATGATGATCATCAGTCTGCTCATTAGTTACTAAACTTGTTCTTTGGCTTCTACTATATTGAACTGATTTATACTGGCATGGTGTGTCACACTTGTCAGTTATATTGACATCATCTTCCATGTCTAATGCTTGTGTGTCATACTAGGTCTCCCATCCTGATACTCTTTTACCTTAGAACTGTAGGCTGTTTCTTGTTTCACTTTTTGTGGTGCTGGGTATTGAACTCAAGACCTTATACTCATTAGGTAAAAACTTTACTAGTGAGCTAGACTTCTGTCCAGGCTACTTTTGTAGCCTTAATTACTGAATTAAAGTCCAAATCTCTAACTGCAGTTTTTGGTGCTGTGTACTAGCTTTCTCCACTACTTTTATTAGACTCTAAATTATAACCTGACTATCCACACTTTTAGTTGACTGGTTAATTATATCACTCCTGTCTGTATTTAATCATTTACTGTTTTCTATGTGCTGGGCTTCCTGCTCAGGCTGCTGTAATACAATATTGATTGGATGGCTTCAACAACAAAAAATGTATGTCTTTGCCGTTCTGGGTGTCACAGTCAGATCAAGGGTATCCTGCTTATGTTTCTGATGAGGGCACTTCCTTGAAGGTAGACTCTGTTCACCAAGCCCTCGTGCCTTTCATTACAAGGGTACGTGCTTCATAACAGTTTAGGTTCTGTATGTCCGGTCTCGTTTGACATTCCTCATAGGCCCTGTCTTTAAAGAAAACCACATTGGAGGTTACAGCTGCAGCATAGGAATTTGTAGGAACTCAGTTCATTTCCATGCAGCTTCCTGCTTAACTATTGGTTTGTAGATTTCTAGGCAAACATACTTTCTTATATTATTATAACTGTATATGGAGAGTTTAGTGTTTTCTGACACTAGTTCTTGTTATTACTTTCTTGTAGAATGTGTTTTTGCTCATTTTTTGAGAAGTATAAATGGTTTATCTTTAAGCCATTGGGGTATATTAATTTAATCTTTCATACATACATAAAAATTACCATCTCCTT